ATAAAATATTAATGTTATACTTACTATTTAACAAGAAAATGTTTAGTGGAGCTTCAGGTGTAAAGAGAAAAAAAAAACAATATTAACGATAATGTTCACTAAAGACAAAACTCAAATGAATAATAAAAGGTAAATACTGTACGTTTGAGAAGGTGTGTCGTCAAAGAAATCAGTTCAACCAAATATTTATACGCGAATCTACGCGTAAATTTCATCATATGATTGATCATCGTATATTCAACCAATCAGCATCACGGAAGCGAAGTAATACTATTTAAATCACTCCGGAACTGTTTAGCAGTTATTACAGTAAAAACAAAATGATTCTCGGTCTCGTTTAATTATTTTACATTACTGCATTAATTTCTATGTCATCATTTTTTAATAACCATCAATCGAGAGGATGCCCTAATTTCAGATATTATTTTAATGGCCGTAATCAACATCCAATCAGAAATAAGATTTCTATGCGTACAATAAGAACTTAGTAAATCCCCTATAAGGAATCTTTGGAATTGTTATTTTATAAGCAATATAAAAATAAAGAAATTTTGCAAATTTCTAATAATCAGCGAATTGTTTATCATAATTAATATTAAGCAACAGATTGTTATATATTAAGCAAAATTTTACTTCTTTTTTGATTATACAATTCATCAAATGAAATTAAAATAAGAACAAATGTCCGTTTTGTTTAAAAAAAAAAAAAAAACTAATAATAATAATTAACTACAATATCCGTCATGTCAAAATTATTCTCTAAATAATTCCCATTGATAAAAATTCGTAAAGAGAAAATTTATATATATAATTTGAATAGAAATAATTATTAATTAATTATTTAAGTGTCTTTTGGGGTTTTTGATCGTTTAGTTGCTTTTGTTCCTTCACTACCATCATCTTTTGACGTACTCGCATCACCTTTATTATCGGCATCTTCATCATCAGGAGTTGGTTCGTCAGTCTTTTTATGTGATGCAGAAGCCTTTTAAATAAGAAAAGAAAATCAGTTCGAGTTCTCTATGTATTTATTATTGTTATTGAATTATATTCTTATTACCTTTTTGGGTGGAGATAATAAATTAAGTAATACTCCGAGGAGTAAAAATAGTATGACGACCAATCCTGCTAATCCACCCGCAACTTCTGGTTTTTCTTTGAAAGCTTCCATAGGATCTTCGTAGAAAATTTCAAGGAATTCGTTGACATGTTTTTGTATGGTATCAACGATTGTACTAGGTGTCTAAACGAATAATGCGGTTTAATAAATATTTTAAATGATAAAATAATTTTTGGATAAAATATTTTTAGTTAATAATATATACCTCACTCTGTGGTTCTGGAAATTCTGCGGCTTCTGCTGCCTTTTCAATCTTATGTTTTATACCCCATGTCTCTTCGGCAAACTCTTGTGCGTCTTCCTCAGAATGGCCAAGATAGATGTTATCAAACAAAATATTACTTTGCATAGTCCAGAGTTCAAAACCAACAGCGCCCTAATTAAGAATACATTTTTTTTTAGAGACAAAATATAAAATTATGAATGTTAAAGATAATAATAAATTAATTAACTTACGATCTTTTCAAAATTAGAAGGAGTCAAATCTTCAAAGAAATCAGGGTTTGGAATTTTACGAGGTGCCCATGCACCTTTATATTTTGGATTATCAATCTGTGGAGGGTACCATTTTCCTTTATAGTTAGGATTGCGCTTGTTTGGACGTTTCCATTCACCACAACCAGGTGCTTCCTCACATTTTGGATTAGATACAGTTGGAGGGATCCAGTCACCATCCTCTTCGTCATCCCAGTCAGCAGGTTTTTTGGCTTCTGGATCTGGAATGTTCAAAGGCTCATCATCAAGCCATCCTTCTGGTTTTGTGGCATCTTCATCAGGAATTTCGAGTGGTGCATCTTCATCCCTATAATTCAATGATTCGTCAACTTAATTGTCTATCCAGAAAAATTAATCAATATGCCTAAAAAATATACTTACCAATCATCTGGCTTTTTGGCACCTTTTATTTAGAACATATAAAAAATTATATAAATTATATTATAAATATATTACGTGAAAAATTATAATGTAAATTTTTTAATACATACTAGGATCGGGTATCTTCGGATCATCAACCCAGTCACTAGGTTTTTTGTCTATATATATATATATTTGTAATTTTTTTAATTAAATAATGATGATCGTGTCCCAAAAGAATTTAATCTATTTTATAAATTAATTAATAAAATACATACCATTAGGGTCATCAATTTCTTTCGGTGGATTAATAGGTGGTGTAAAATCTTCCAAAAGGTTTCCACTCTTAACTGATTCATTATTAACTTGAATTTCGAATGTATTATCAGGCCTAAATTATACAAGTTTTAATTAATAAATAATAATTTTTAGATCAGAATAACTCTTATAGTGCACGTACCTCACGATAAGACTATATAAAGTACTAATTTTGTTAATTGATGCTGATGGGGCGCTCTTCAAATGTTTTTCTTCATATTCACCAGTTTTAGGATTTTTATGTCGAAAGATAAAGTGAATTTTGTTCGTACTGCCACATTTATCAGGTCCAAACATAATCGTATAAGGTGTTTTATCTGAAAACTCTACAGCTTGAATTCCTTTTTCGGATTCGGTTAAAAGTTTTAAATAAGCACCACCACATTCGAGCCCATCTTGAAATTTAACTTCATATCTAAAAAATTTTCAAAAATTAATTATGAGATCGATAATATTAAATGATAATTATAATGATAAAATAGATTATAATACTAACTGAAGGACCAGCGTTTTATCTTTGTTATCCAATGGTTTTTCTAGACGTGCAGATATAGCGTGATGAGCAGCTGCACTTTTCATGACTAGACCTTTATCGTCTTTTATACCAGGATAAACACGAGGCTCTTCAACTTCCCATTTTCCAACGTAACTAAAGGTTTCATCTCCTTCTTTGGTTTCTTTTGTGGCACTACTGGGTGACCATCGGTTTGACCAGTCACTTGTGAACTGTTCCAAGAAGGGTGCTTTAATCTTTGTTGGCTACAATATTTAAAGAAATTGAATAAAATTTAGTTATTGGCTATGTCATATACAAAATGAAAACGCGTTTCTTTTAAAGACTATTTTTTTTTTAAAAAAAAGAAAAAAAATTTGCGAGATAATAATGCTTAACAAACTTTGGTTTTGTATGTATGTATGTATGTAGTTCGGGGGATCAACCGCAATTATTAAGTAATGTTATAGCTAATGCGAAGGAGAAAGGGGATATGAACACCGGTCAAAGTCGCCCATAACGAATTTAACTTTATTCTACCTTAAATTCTGGCTTTTCGTCTACAATGGTAGTAGAAGACTCTGAAGGATCTGCACATGTACTGACTACAAATGCCGAGGCGATAAATAAGGTGAGAGTACGGAAATTATACTTCATCGTTTATGGATATAACTGGCTGACAAGGCAGTTTAACCAATTACGATAAATTCGAGTCTTTCTAATGTTTTTTTTGATGGAGGGAAGAATGAATTTTTGGCTCGTTTTTTTTTCAAGTTTATATAATTGAGCCATCGATCTGTGATTGATATGTGGAATTTGTTGATTCGCTGATTTTTATGTGGTTGTGCGTGTACATTTTTTATTGGCTTAATAATTTTAAGTTAAATAAAATCTACAATTGTTACTCTTTATGCATAAAAAGGCTAGAAATTAATTATTTTCTATTCCCATATTTATTACATTTTATTAATTTGCATTGATTAACTATTTTTGGGCTATTACAGAAAGTGAACGTAGTTAATTGTAATAGGATATCAAAGTGTATATCCACCAAGAACATCAGACTGCGCCATGGCTAGTAACAATGGATCATCGAAAAACTAAGAATAAAAAAGATATGAGATCATGTGATTGTGATTTGGTGTGATAAAATCGAAATATTTACATACCTTGTTAACGGAAACGTCTTCGGACAATCCCTTACGTCTTCGAGTTTTTACCATAAAGTCCCTAGCTAAATGTTGTGCCGGACTAGGTTCCAAAGGTCTTAGAACAATACTTTTATCTAACGGATCACCAGGAACAATCTAGAGTGATTAAATAAAGATATCACACGTTAGCAAAATATACATATAATGAGAGGTACAAAAGCGATTCTAAATCACCTGCCAGTGATCAAACATCTGCTGACAAAATGCCTGTCCTTGTGTATGAGTTCTTAAATCTGTTTCAAATCCATTCGCCTCGATTACAGGAATATAAGCTTTGACAGTATATAACGGAGAGCCCGCCTTTGGAATATCCTGCGTGACATGTCCTCTATAAAAAAAAAAAAATTGAATATATATATATATATATTAAAATTTAGATTACGAAAAGAAAACGAATAATTAATTACAATACCTCCTCCTGGCCAAAACTGTATACACGGCTGAAACACAATCAGCTGGTGCTTGAATTTCAACATAATATACTGGTTCCATTAATCTTGGTGTTGCCTATTTAATTCATATATGTTTTAATATATTTATATGATATACCAGTTTTTATCTTTAAATATATATATATATAGTATATGTATTTATTGTATGAGTATATTGAATAACACAGTGTGTAACTAGATTATTCACTACATACCCATACAATAACCATAAAATATAAACCGGTTAATGTACCGGTACTTTAATCAATAAGTATATAAGGCATTACCGTAAGAAATGCAGAATAGCAAACGCGTCTTGCTGTAGGAATTATTTGACCACCACCACGGAATAAAGGTTCGGGTGCAATAACGGCATCTAATATCCTAAATTTGACATTACGTATAGCTTAAAACAAAACATTAAATTTCACGTTAATTGACTTATAATAATTATATAATTTATAGGGGATACTTACGTTCATCACACAGAGGTCCCTCTCGAGTGCCCCATTGGAAACCTTGTCGTATTGAATCTCGAACAAGTTTCATAAGACCTTTGTTCACCTGCAATTAAAAAAAAAGATAACATATGACTGGGCAAGTTTTAACGAAATTTTAATAATTTTTTTTTTTTTTTTTTACCTCTGCGGGTAAGGTATCATCTATCAAGATATTTGGACCGTTCTCATCAGGTCCGAATGCCCATATTGAATGAGATGCCAACACATCCCAAGAATACTTTTCTTCAAAGAATTTTGCAACATTCTTAACATTCCACTTTAAGCTTACTCTACCGGCTTCAATGTCTTCAGCGATACCTTTTTCTAACGGCTCAGATATCATGGTCAATTTATTTCTATTAAATAGAATATGGTTAATAAAAATAGATTATAAACAACATATATATAAAATATATAATATATAAATATATTACATGTACACACTTTTTATTTGGAGTTTCAGCAAAACACTTTAAAGCCGATGTTTCCACAACGGTTTCACAGAATCGAACCACAGGATCCGAAACCTTAAGTTCTATTTCAGCATACATTCTTCGAAGATCATGTAAAACACAGTCCAGGTACAATTCACCTGTGCCGAGAATAATATGCTCACCAGACTCTTCAACCTGTAAACCAAAATCATGATGAGAGAGCACTATATGAAATATAATAAAAAGTCAAACAAATGACTATACCTTTGTTATTAATATAGGATAGCTTTTATTAATTTTTCGTAATCCATCCAACATTTTAGGCAATTCAGAAGGGTTGACTGGTTCAACAGCTACTTTAAGCACAGCAGTTGTAACAAATGATAAAGGCCTAAATATATATTTGTGCCCTTCGTCATCAGAGTTTTCAGTAATCGTTGCAGTTTTCACGATTGAATTATCAACGCCACCCAAAAGTACCCAATTTCCCGCAGGTACACCCTCCACTCCAATTCTATATCTATGGAAAAATTAGTAAATACTAGGTAAATACTAGGTTACTTGTCCGTTTGAAATATAAAGTATAGCTAATACTTCATATAAAAAAGTAAAAAGACTTACCTAGATTCAAAAATCCAAACATCCGTAATTTCTTGTATAGTCATATCCTCTTCATCATCAATTGAATATCCTTCTCCAAGGACTCTTACAATTTGACCTTTTCTAACAGATCCACTCAGAATACGGCCGAACGCGTCAAAAGTTGACGCGTCAGATGAATTATATAGCTTTGTCACATAAATCATTAAGGGACCATCTGAATCGCATTTACGCATGGCCTCTGCCACCTCTGTATCCATCGGTCCAGTGTATGTGTGTTCTATCTAGTAAAATATAAAGAAAAATTATTTATGCTACAAACATGAAAAAAAACAACATTTCTTTATAATGCCAACCTTTTTAATGGCATTTTCTCCTGGTGACGGAATATGTTGAACAACCATATCGGCAAACCCAGTTGCTGGACCAAAGAACTGATCCAATACTATCCGTAATAATGGTTTAACATCTAATTGAAAGTGAGAAGCCTTCAGATAGATACCTAGAGAAGCTAAGGTTTTTTTTAAAGTCGCTTCATCTTCTCCTATTACCTATAGAAAATAAGAGAAAAGTGAGTCTTTTATAAAACATGCATAATAGTTTGAGATCATATTACTGATAATTACCTGAGAGTAAATTTTGTACAAAGGCTCCAGAATGAAATGCACAAAAGAACGTTGGCTTTTAGTTTCCAAGCCTTTTCTACTAAAGGATTTCTTTGTGGGATTATAATGAATATCACCCCATAAACGTTTTGCAAAATCATCAGCACTTATATCGCCTTTTTTAAAAAAAATAATAATAATTCAGTAATGTTAAAATATATATTTTATCAGTTCAATAAACCCCATCAAAAGATTAATAAATATACCAACCGTATGTATCAGAATATATTTTTGCAAATGATTTTAATGAAAAACACCAGCCCATCTGACTGGACGCGAAACAAACATTTCCGCGTTCAGGAGATACGCGAAGATCACGATCTTGTGCGTGTTGACTAAAAATAATTAATAAAGGAACCTTTGAATATTTTTTATCCTTACTTTTTTTTTAAAAAAAATTGGAAAAAGAGCAAAACAAACCTGATGATAAAATTAACTTCTTCAATGGTATGTTTTAACTTATAATAAGCATCATTTGGTGGTAATTTTAATTCCAAAATCAATCTATCTACTTTGTTTACTACTAATGAAAATGCTAAATTTTCTTGTATAACGTGCCGTATAACACGTTCAGTATTGGCCATAACCTGTGATAAACAATTTTAGAATTTGAAATTCTACAACAAAAAACTTGAATGGTTCATATATTTACCCCTTCGATCGCGTCTACTACGATAACTGCACCATCAGAAAGTCGAAGCGCAGCAGTAACCTCATCCACAAAATCAACGTGACCTATTTATAAAAAGATAATTAAATAAGGTTTCAAGCAATTCTGTTATAATAATATAATTACCCGGTGTATCCATAATATTGAATAAGTAAGATTTAGATTTTGTGTCTTGTAAGACGAGGGTCATCGGCATACTCTTGATACTAACACCTCTATCTCTTTCTAACGTATGAGTATCTGTATAACGTTCCTGTATATTCACATTACAATTTTATAAATAATAATTAATATGAGTAAAATACAGAAATAAATAAAATAATAAAAAATTAACAAATGACAATTGATCACAATACCTGCTTATCCACGTCCCATGCAACTGAAGAATGGGTCTCGTTAACCAACATATCGACAAAAGAAGTTTTACCATGATGTAGATGACCGATAATGGCGACATTTCTGATCAATTCAGGAAAATTCATCATATCCACCAAAAATCTAGTAAATCAAACCGAAATGAAAAGAGAACATTATAATTTTTAACTAATACAGTATCTACATTAAAAAAGATCATTATAATAAAAATACAATACTCTTTTTTAAATCTTGTTTCTGGAAGGTTTTTTTCTACGAGTTGAAATTTTTTGATTTTTATTGGTTTAATTATAGGTTCAGATAAAGGTTGAGTATCTTCTTCCTGAACCAAAGTTTCCACTTCAGGACCATAGACTTCTTCGGCACTCGGGTAATATTTTTTATCTTCATGAAGAACAACTTGAGTCTGAGGAACATCTGAAAGAAGTTAAGCTCCAGCTATCAGTCGCATACATAATATAACAATAATGAAAAGGCGTGTAAGGTTAAACTCGCGTCTCAAAGTGAAAACTGATATCGAAAACCAAGGAGACAAAAGTCAAAAGAGAGGTTTTTAACTTTTGTATATAGCAAGAGAGAGCGAGAATAGAGGCAGAAGAAAAATATTGAAAATCGCATACCATCTACTTCCATAAGCGCCATACTCGGGCCACTAGTTTCTTCCTCCCCTTCTTCATATAGATCTTCAACGTCTTGCATAGGCTGAGGGGCAATTTCTTCCTCATCAGAATCAGGTAACTCTGGTCCAAGGTAGTTACCGAATTCATCGTAAAGTGAATCGTCCATGTTCTTGTTCTTGTAAGCAACAACTTTTTAACTTTACAATCGCTATAGTTACTGCAGTAGTCTTATTTCGACATAAGCCACTGCAACCACGTGATTATCAGAAACTGTTGTGTCCACTTAATATTTTAAATCAGGTAGATCTACATTTGAAAAAAAATTAATGCCTTAACTTTCACAGCTCATATCTCGATAGATTTTAAAGCTATCTTGATTGTTTAATATTCAAAAGAATTCTTATATCGTAAGCTTTCTTTTGAATATCAAACATCAAGATAGCTTTAAAATCCATTTAGTTATGAGCTGTGAAAGTTAAGGCATTAATTTTTTTTCAAATGTAGATCTGCTGATTTATATTGACGGCAGCCCATATTATTTTAAAAAATTGATCTACATTTTATGTCACTGTACGGTACTTTAAAGTGTATAAATAAGTTACCCGGGTAATTGATCTGCACATGTGACAATCTGGTAACACTAAAGTTAGTTTTAAGGAATAACTTAAAAACTTAAGATGATGATCGGTGCATAGTATTGGGGCTAAGGCGGAATGACTCACCATCCTGAGAGGGTCCTTGGTTCGATGACCGCCTTATCACAATTTGTGTACAAATTGTCACTTAATTTTTTTTTTTTTAATGCCCCCATGATATCCCAAGTCAAATTTTGATGAATTTTTTTTTATTTGTATCTTACGAGACTGTAAAATTCGAATAAAAAAAAAGGTTATTGAATTTTATTTGGTAGTTGCCAGAAATCTTCGCGTTCGCTCAAGGTTTGTGGAAAACTTTGACGCAGCTGTATTTTGATAGAGTTTTCTTAAACTTTGAGCGAGGATATCTCGACATCCACCTAGTCGAATTCGATAAACTTTATTTTTTACAAGTCTGCAGAATTCAAATAAAAAATATTTAACAATTTAACTTAGTAGTTGTTAAGATATCTTCTCTCAAAGTTTGAGAAAGCAAAACATCCATCAAAATAAGCTGCGCCAAATTTTTTGAGCGAAGATATCTCGACAACTACCAAGTCAAATTCGATGAACATTTTTTTAATTGAATTCTACAAAATATTAGAATGTAAATCAAAAAAATTTTTGCCGAATTTGACTTGGTGGTTGTCGAGATATTTTTGCTCGGTTTTTTTTTTTTAAAAAAAACGTTTATCAAAATAAAGCTGCGCCAAAATTTTTCTCAGCCTTTAAGTGAAGATATCTCGACAACTACCAAGTCAAATTCGGTGAACTTTTTTTCATTTGAATTCTACAAAGTACTAGAATGCAATAAAAAATTTTTTATCGAATTTAACTTGGTGGTTGTCGAGATATGTTTGCTCAGTTTTAAAAAAAACCCAAACGTCTATCAAAATAAAGCTGCGCCAAAATTTTTCTCAAACTTTGAGCGAATATATCTCGACAACTACCAAGTCAAATTCAATATGCTTTTTTTTTTTTTTTGAGAATTCAAATAAAAAAAAGTTCGTCGAATTTGACTTAGTAGTTGTTGAGGTATCTTCGCTCAAAGTTTTTTTAAAAAAAAAACGTCTATCAAAATAGCCAAAATTTTTGAGCGAAGATATCTCGACAGCCACTAAGTCAAATTCGATGAAGTTTTGTTATTTGAATTCAATCAGTCTGTTGAGTCAAATAAAAAAAAAAGTTCATTGAATTGACTTGGTGGTTGTCGAGATCTTCGAAGTTTTAAGACTCAAAATGAAAAAAAGCTGCGCCAAAATTTTTCTCAACAACCACTAAGTCAAATTATATATATATATATATTTGCACGAATTCTACAGGTCGTAGAATTCAAATATAAAAAAAAGTTCATTGAATTTGACTTGGTAGTTGTCAAGATATATTCGCTCAAAGTTTTTTTTTAAAAAAAAAGTAAGTTGTGCCAAAATTTTTCTCAAACTTTGAGCGAAGGTATCTCAACAACTACCAAGTCAATTTCAATGAACTTGTTTTATTTGAATTCTATGAGTCTGCAAAATTCAAATAAAAAAAAATTCATCGAATTTGACTTGGTGGTTTTCGCTCAAAGTTTTTTTTTAAAAATGTCAATATTTATCAATAATAGAAGCTGCGCCAAATTTTTCCTAAATCTTTGAGCAAATAGATCTCAACAACCATCTAATCAAATTCGATGAGAATTTTTTTATTTGAATTTTATGATCTATAGAACTCAAATAATCGTCGGGATTTGATCAGATGGTTGCTGAGATATTTTCGTTCAAAAGTTTTTTTTTAAAAAAAAATCAAAAAAAAAAACAAATTCGCCTATAATACAAAAGTGAAAAAATGTATAACTACATGAACTCTCATTTATTTGAGCTAAAATTTTATAAAATGAAAGTTTAACAAATTTTCTAAAAGTCTAGTTATTACGCAGTAGTCACTTTAGACCAAATTTTTCAAAATCAAGGTGGGTATCATGAATTTTCATCATAATATCAAAATGGAAGCTGCGCTAAATTTTTCCTAAAACTTTAGCGAAGATATCTCAGCAACTAGCAACTATCTGTTCAAATTCAATTAAATTAAATTTTTTTTATTTGAATTCTATAGGTTTATAGAGTTCAAATAAAAAAATTTCATCAAATTTGATTAGGTGATTGCTGAGATCTTAAACTTTGAGCAATCTCAGCAACCACCTGATCAAATTCGATGAATTTTTTTTATTTGAATTCTACAGATTCATAAAATTCAAATAAAAAAAAATTCATCGAATTTGATTAGAATCGCGTACAATCACACAATCACGTATAATCGATTGCTACAGCGATAATTGATTGAGATGCTTGAGAACACTCTAAATCAAATGGACAATAAACTAATACCAATTAATAAAAGGTACTGTAATACATTGTTTCGAATACTTTGATTAACAAATTATTTTATATTTTGATTAAATAACCTAAATAAGTGATTTAATGTAAAGAAATATATAGCTTATTCTCAAACATCTTAAAAAATCCAATAAAAAAATTCTATTCAACCAGTTGCCGAAGTTTCAACTTCAATCGCGTAGCCTCTTCTTTTAATGATTTTACTAATTTAAAGTTTTTGTGATCATGGACAAAACCTTTCCATTTTGGGTCTTATTTATTGAGAAGCTTATTTAAATAAGTAAAAAACAGAATAGCAGTATTCATTATGGTTTGGTTGAACGCTAAAAAATGGACTGTATTTATTACATTCGAATCAAGGTATCGAGTATTTGTTTAAAAGCCTCTTGCGTTAAAAATAAAATAGTGATTTTTTGAATTGGGTAGAAAATTTCCGAGAATTCATTGTTTATTATTTTTGATACGTGAAAAATATAAAGTAATGCTTGAGCAATCTAAATTATTAAGGAAAAAGATAGTTCGTATCTCGCTGATTAGTTCAACGAAACGGGTAACTCACTTGGTTAATTTGTATTTTTGCAATTGCAAAAATAGGAAGGTTAAAAAGGGCCCTTCAGTGGGATGACTGATCACCTAATAGAATCAAACATATGTCTAGTCTAATTAATTTTTGTATAATGATAGATTTTTTGATTAATTTAGTAAAATATTTTTGATTATATATCGCTTAATCATTTTTTTTTCTTCTAATTTTAAAGTCTTTCAATCTTTGTTGCATTCTTAGCAAAGTTACGTACTCAAAATTTACATACCATATTAAAATTTTCAATTAAAAATACAAAGTTCAAATTGATATATACGGCCTAATATATTTTTTAAAGCGTATATTATATAAAATTGGTAAGACTATATAAAGTACGTATAAATATTTTAACGTAATTTTGTAAAAGAAGTGTTTAATCTTCTTACCAAATTTGATATTGATTGGTTGCACAATTAAAATGTTACGTTAATCATTTAAATTTTTAGAAAATGGCTAGCGTCTAAAAAAGCTGCTGTTGAAATCTGCAATATTACAAATTTATATGGGACTAACATATGTTTGATTTTATTAGACGATCAGCCACCCCAGCCTATATAGCCAGAGATTATTACGTTAAAAGGTCCTTTTTTTCGCTACCTCCGCTTATATTAAACGTTGCTTATAAATTTATATACTCAAGTAAGTGAAAAGCTCTCTTTCTGTTAATCACTAAATGACTGTTGCAAATACAATGCAGATTTTAAAAAAAAAACTTTTATTTATAAGATATTGGCATGTAACGATTAATTTTTGCAAATTTTATGATATTTATATGTAATAACGTACAAAAAATAACAAGAAAAAATTTTTAGTTACGGGTTAATTTCCTGAAGTTCATTTTTCTAAAATACTACTTACCAAAAAGCTACAAAACTGACAATCTATTTTTCTAATACTATAATAGGACATAATTTTGTTATCTTAGTTTCCAAAATATCATTTAATTGATAACTATTTCATGCTAAAGAATTAGATTGTTGGTTTTTAAAATTAACTTATTTCAAAAATAAGTGTAGTTTAAAATTCCGAGTCAGAAAATTAAACAGGTGTAGCTGGCAATGAAATAAGCTTTTTTTGATAAACATTCACCAGTAAGCGATTTTGTAAATAAGTGCATACTTTAAAAAAATAGAATTTGTATGTTGCTTCGTTCAAAATAAATACATCACTTATTTTATTGGAACTGGATATTGGATCATTAATTTTGAGACCTATTTGGTAAAACTTCAAATAAGAAATAGGTTAGAAATAGGTTATCGGATCAGAGGAATAATACTTGAAAAATAAATATCTACGACTTTTTTTTTTTTTTTTTTAATTTATAAATAGTAATAAAATTTATTTTTATTGAAATTATAGTTTAATTAATAAGAAATAGGTTAGAAATGGGTTATCGGATCAGAGGAATAATACTTGAAAAATAAATATCTGCGACTCTTTTTTTTTTTTTTTTAATTTATAAATAGTAATAAAATTTATTTTTATTGAAATTATAGTTTAATTTTTATACATTTCATACTATCCAACTCTACCAATTTTTTTGATACTGTATGCAATTACCAATTTCCATAAT